TAATGTTCCTTACAGTTTGATGAACCTAGGTACTGCTAGAAGAGTTGGCAATTTTATTGGTAGCTTTGTCAAATATGATGATAAACAATTTGATGAAAAGTGGGAGGCTAATTTACGGGTAAGGGTTTGTATCGATGTGAGTAAACCTCTGAAGAAAGGGACAACCCTTAAGAAAGCAGGAATTGGGCATTGGGTGAGATTTTAAATATGAAAATGGTTGATAAGTTTTGTCCTCTGACTTATGAGGATAACCTGGTTTCGGAGAAAAATTATGGAGTTATTTTGAGAGCTGGTGGTATAGACGCGATTGATAATACATCAAACCTCAAGGGAGGTGAGTGATATTTTCCCTTGTTTAAATAATTTGAGAAGGAAAATAAAAGATAGAAAAAGAAATGATAAAATATTGTCAATTAATACCTAAATTTGTCTTAGTCATGACATGAATGTATTAAGTGTGTAAAAGTTATTATCGTATTTTTCATATCCAAGTTATTTATTTATATCCTAAAGATGAAGGTTGAAGACAAATACAAAGTATTTATATAAATGTTAAAAGTTGTTTGATTTGATTTATGATTTTTCAGTTAAAACCCAACCAAACCATTCGGTTTGAGCAAATTGTTATTAAATGGTTTACTTAAATGATGAACCCAAACCAAATAAAAACCAATTTTTGGTTTGGTTCAATTAGGTTAAACCATTTTACCCAACCCTACTTGGGACCAATCGGTTTTCAAACTAGGACAAGAAATTTGGCTTCTTGATCGTGACCGAGATTGAGACCACAAGTAAACGGGACCGGTCCAGCCCCAGTTTTAACCCCATTACATTTTTTGCATTACAACCATCGGGAAGAAACTTGAAACGGATAAGTCTAGGTCTGGACAAAATGGTTTGGTTAAACCGAACTAAACCGAACGAACAGAAAATTGGTGGTTTGGTTTGGGTTTATTTAAGTAAACCGATTGGTGACAATTTGCTCAAACCGAATTGTTTGGTTTGGCTTAAAACCGAAAAACCGTAAACCGACCCGAACACCGAACGACTTGTAATGTATATATAAATACTTTTTATTTTTCTTCACTCTTTATCTTTAGGATATAAATCTATAATTTAGACATGAAATAAAAATACTAATTTAGCATATATTATTTTAACTTTTACACATTTCATACGTTCATTATGAAAAAATCTAGCTAATACGACATATTTGTTGGTCCAGTGTTCAACAATCAAAATAACGGAACATGATAAAGTAGAGAAGATGCATCTTTGATTCGATACCAACAAGAATTCCAAACTACAGAGCAAGGGTATCGAAATACAAAGTTGCGGCTCTCTCTCTTACTAGAATGATATGTGCGCCGATAATTTCTTAGATAAGTTTTTTGCTCATTCCCTTTAAGGCAATATTTATATGCCTAGGGAATGAGTTGATGTGATCTAAGCATGATTGAGCTTCTTTATTGACATATCCCAATTGCACACTTTACAGTATTTCCTAATAAGGATGTCTAACTTATGGCTTACAAAGGTGCTAATGGACCGAAATACATTTGAAGCCCATATTAAATATCTAGACAAAATAGCTACACAAATACAAAGAGATAAACTAGATTGGACACCATAAAAAGTTCCAACAATCCCCCCCTTGATGTTCAGTCGTGTTCAATCAGCATTACAACGCAGATATCTTCGTCTTTGTGTTGATTCAGCAATGTAGAGGAGCTAGAGCGTAGATAAGATTTGTTAGTTTCTCCTCCTTGTTTAGAACTTTAGTGCATCTCAACTTCCTTTTTCTTCTTGAAAGGCATTATGAAGAAATTCTTGCAATCTCTCCCCTTTCATGTCTTCTTGCCAATTTGTTCTTGGATGCCGAGGGTTGAGGAATTTGGAAAATCTTGCTTGTAATCCTTTCCTTCCAGAAGTTGCTCTTGATCAGCTTGAATGAAGTCTGATGGCGCCTCTAGAATGAATGTTTTGTTGATTTCCACGCCCACACAAGATTCAACTTCAGTACTTGAGTATCCGGCCTTTGTCTCTTCTAGAGTGTAATCTTTTTAACTATTTGAAGTGTATGCTTTTGAGGAGAACTTGTCGGTGGCACAATGGGAAATTATGGTTTTTGTGAGCGAATCTGACCATTTGATGTGAAGCTGGTTTGGCAGTTGATGATTTGAGAGAGTAGAAAGCCATCATTGATTGATAAGTCCGTATTTTGACAAGCATTCGATGTGTGTTGTGATCGGATTTTGAAGGTTTTCCTAGATCTAAGGCATCATAAGTCTCCATTTTAGCTCAAGTCATATTTTACCGGGCGTTGGTTCGAGTTTGGTATTTTTGGAGTCAAAATCAGGGAAGTTGAGCCCGGCACCAGCACTTGAGAAGCAATCGGGATGAGTCAAGATGCATTCTAGAAAGAATTGAGAGCTTTGGAGGTCACCAGGAGGTTCACGATAAAGATTTGATGACAAAAGAACTCTAGAATTGACTACATACAGAATCAAAAGAAGACGATTAGAGCTTGAAAACGGCGATCATGATGACGTTCTGTCAATCGTTCAAGCATATTCTTTTGTAGAAACATCCAACGTACACAATTAAAGTTCCACATGAAATCCAACTTCAAGGGCTACAAATCATATGAAGACACTATTGCGAGAATCTGAGAGGAGAAAGGTGATAACTGACGATGAAGTCAAATAATCGCTGTTGAGAATTCAGAATGCGACCTTCCACCATTTTGTTCATATCTTTTGATTGGATCATTCACCTTGTTCATCAATATTTTGGGATTCTTTGTAAGTTCCATCTTTTTAATTAATGATAATTAATTCTTTTATCCCAATTCTATTGTTGATTCAATTATGAATTATGAGTAGTTTTATTTAGGGATTTGAGATTGATGAAGGGGTTAATCATGATGTATGACTAGTTTCTTGATGGTTTAAATTGCATGACTCTTTATTTAATTTGTGTATGAATGACTTAAATTGATATCTCTTGTAATCTAGAATGACCACTAGGATTATAATTGCATGTAGAATAAATTAAGAGAGATCTAATTTAATCTAGGACACCTTCACACATACTTAATCGTTTGCTAAGAGATTAGTAACGGTTGCATGAGAGGTCATCCTGGTTCCCTAAATTATTGTACTCTACGCCGCGAGAGCGGTAAGAACTTAGTATTGATTAGTGTCGCTCAATTAAATAATTTTCACGTGATTAAGCCTGATCAGCCAAAAATCTGATTTTCCCGGAATCAATCCCTGTTCTCTTCATCATTAATTAGAAAGAACCCCTTAGTTTAATCGTTTTATTCGTATTTTAATTTTCCAAACCAATCAATCTCACACAATTGCATTTATTTTATTTCTTTTTTAATCGATGATTTTAATTAATTCCTGATCCCCTTTACTACGATCTATTTTAAGTGTAAGAATACTCACATCAGTTTTTGGCGCCGTTGCCAAGGACGGTAACAGTTTTAAGATTTAATTAATTTCAGCGATTTGTTTTTGGGTTTTCCGTAGGAATTTTCTTTGCTAACCTTTCAGATTAAAAAAACCATGGACCAGACCTCATTTGGAACCGCTGGGACGTCTGTTGTCCCTAACGCCACCTCCCAGCTCGATTTCTATATCAACCATCCTCCAATTTCTCCTAGAAACCGCGCTCCAGGTCTCCAAAATGACCGCCCTCCACCAATATTTTTTCAAAATCAATCCACACTACAACTCAACCTTGCTCCACTATGCCAAATGTTCCAAAATATTTCTGCTGTTTCTGAAACTACCTTCAAATTCCAATCTTTGGGATGTAAGGAACATGCTAGAATATTCCACCGATTACCCAGAACCCATTCCAGAACCAGCCATCATACCAATATACTTTCCAGAACCTGTATAAAAAACAGCCCAAGTACCACCTGTTCAACCAAGACCAGTCTCACAAACCAGACCTCAGCCCCCCCGATTCCAAGCCCGTGTCCCGCAGAACAACCCTCTCTATCAAGGGCAGACGATAGCAGAGTACCTAACCCCAAAAATTTCTGAGTATGACAACATCCAAGTGTCAGGTATCACTATTAACCACTACGAGATCAATCCGGCGGCGATTAACATGATTTCAAACAACCAATTTGGAGGAGAACCTACTGAAGACCCTGTGGCACATATCATTTGTTTCCTCAGGTGTGCCAGACTTTCAAGATTCCTGGGGTGGCTGATGACCAAATTAGATTGATGTTTTTCATGTTCTCACTGAGAGACGATGCGCAAAGATGGTTGGACAACCCACATCACCATCTCCAGACCTGGGACCAGCTGCACAACGCCTTTATCAAGGAATATTTCCCAGCATCAAATGCATTGAAATTGAAGAAGCAATTGCAGGAGTTCAAGCAAGGATCATTGAAGTCTCTCTCTAAAGAATAGAAGAGATTCAAGGTGTTGAGAAGATATTGTCCCCAGGGCAAGATGAGTAACTGTGAGATCATCTCATTTTTCTACAGTGGTAAGCCATTATTCTTCACTTTAATTGTTTCACAACTTCTACTTAAAAAAACATTTATCTACTTTTGGATGAAAAGTACTTTTTACTTTTTCTGTTATGCAAAAAACACATATTTTATCAAACACTACCAACTTTTATTTTTTACAATCAATTTTTTCTGAAACACTACCAACTTTTACAATTAATCACTTTTTCCAAAATCACTTTAAAAATGTTTTTTTAAAGGCAAAAACATTTGCAAACACTCTCTAAGTAAGCGAAATTATCCAGAGAAAACTGTCAAATAACTTCCCGAACTTTCATAAAAAGGTCAAATAAGTCCTTACATAGGAGGCTCTGTCCGGCCGTAGCGATTTGACGAGGTTCCCAGTGGAACTTTTTGATAATTTTTTTGAGAATCTTATTGGTCTAGTATAGTTTAATTATACCAAATTTTAACTAAAACTTCAATCGGAAACGCATTCAAATTAATTCTTGAAAATAACTTTGTCTTCAAAATAACTTTGCCCATTTATCTGGGCAGTTATCTTACCTTGAACTAAAATTTGAATGCTGAAGCACCTTCTATCGATTCTTTAAGAAGTGAACAGAAGCTTTTTGTGATAATTCCTGATTTTTAGATAGTGAGTGTAAAATTTCTCAAGTCAAAAGAGCTTCGAAGTAATACGATATTTCCCCATTTACAACATTATAGCTCCGCTAACTCTTTGCATCTGTTTCTCCTTCAGTGATTATTTGTTCAAACTTTTGCTAATTGGACATTCTGGTGTTGGGAAATCATGTCTTCTTCTGAGATTTTCTGTAAGTGGATATTATATGTACTCCTGTGTATGCTGGACAACTATTTAGTTGAGTATCAAAGTCTTGCTCAGCTTGTGTATGATGATTCTTTCATTTTCTTTTCCTACGGTCTTTCATTCCTGCGGTTTTGAGAAATGACATTCTAAGCCTGCTGAATGCTGATTCATTTTAAGAAGTCTGCCCAGTTTCCAGTAGTGGCTGACTGACTGTTAGTTATAGTTTGGGAACATAAAGATGTCTAAAAATAGTCACAAAACTGAAACTGTCTTATTAGTTTTGTTAGGATGACACATACATGGAGAGCTATATAAGCACCATTGGAGTTGACCTTGTAAGTAAGTTGTGTTGTACCTGTAACTCCACAAATCTTTTCATTTTACTGTAACTATAAGTTTATTATCCAATTCCCGGCCCATAGGGGCACAGCCTTCCAGGAAGGGAGGGTGTGGGTCTGGGTAAGTAGAAGCAAAAAGGAAGGTGAATAAAGGGTAAAGGTCACTACTTATTCTTCCGTGTAGAAAATCTGCACTGTGGAGCAAGATCGGAAAACACTGAAGCTTGAAATAGTGAGATTCTTTATGGACTAAAGCTTGTGTTCTTTTATTTCACCCTAAATCTTTTTCACCATTAGAGAGTAAAAGCTTCAAATTGAATCTTCTGGTTCAATTGAATTATTGAACCTACTGTTTGTCTGCCATATCATATTTAGTAGCCAGTATGTTCAACATCTCAATATGAGTAAGTGGATCCTGAAATTCACATAATGGCAGATTACTTTAATTGTGCTACATTTTGATATTGTAAAGAGGAAGTTTCTTTGTTAGGCATATTTTCAGGATTGCTGAAAAAGGATAGGGACAGTTATTTAGTTATTGCGGGATCTTTAGCTGCACAACTATAAAACTCTACCCGATGTCTTTTTTACTACGGAGTACCATTTTACCAAACTGAATATATATTTGAGATAGGGATTTTTTTTATAAGGATAAACACCACACACATCTTGCCACATAGTTTTATCTGATCCTTTTTTTCTTTCTCTCTCGCTGTAAACTGGTTTTACTTGCCTTCTTCACTATGTGTTTTTAACAATGAAAGAATTTAATAATTTATACAAAGTATATGTTATTGTAGTTTTGCAATTTTTATGTTTTAATTCATCAGTTGTATGCGAGTTTTTAATTTGGTCACATGTCAGTATGTCACTAATCCAATGGAAGGGTCGCATCGGTTAAGGTCTTGCCTTGTGACCGAGAGGTCACGGCTCAAGTCTTGGGAGCAGCCTCTTGTCAAAAATTTGACAGGGAAAGGCTTTCCCCTTATACACCCTTGTGGTGGGACCTTTCCCCGATCCCTCGTTTTGCGAGGATGCCTTCACTCTCCAGTCTGCCCTTTTATGTCACTAATCCAGTGAAGGTGTAAAAATGTAAATTTGCAAAGTTTATGGTCATGTAGGTTCAAATTGAAACAGTAGCCGGTAGGTTCAATGTGAAGCTATTACTATATATGTTGCAAGTATGTTGGTTCAGTTGAGCAGTAGGCACTATGTTTGCCATTTCATAGTCAGCAACCTGTATGTACTCTGTTTCCATTTCACAGTCAGCAGCCAGTATGTAGGTTCAACATCAATATGAGTATGATGGTTGTGGAATTCACATGATGGTAGGGTGTTAATCCTATAATTTACATCTTTTTTTGGTAAAAGTTTGAGAACTTTTAGTTTATATGCTGGTCATGAAAAGTTCGGTGATTCATCAATTTACTAGTTTTTTTGCTCATAAAGATACATATGTAGAGCTGTTGTGTCAACCCATACTATTACACAAAAAATAATGTCAAAGTAATTCGAACACCCAAAATTCAATTGCTAGATCCCCAATTTCTTGCCATAGTTTGGATTGTTCTCATCAACTTTTTCTATGTATCAAATCTGAAAATGATGTTGATCCATTTTTATTTTCTGTATCATATCCTCAGAATCTTTATCATACTTTCATAGTCAGCCACTTATAGGAGTTATAGAGAACAAAGAAAGAACTATGCTTTCCCCATGTATCTGTGCTTCCAATCCCTTTAACCAAATGCAGTTTGTGAGACGTTACCCTCACACCTCACCTTCATCATCATTCTCGGTTTGGAAGCCCAATTGCCTCTACCCCTTTATTAAATGCAGTATTAAACGGGAGAAGGGTGTGCAAAGAGGGGTTAATAGTAGGGAGAATGTGGAACTGAAAGAGAAGGGCAAGGGCAAGGATAATGTGTGGAGTATTGACAACAAAGTTGCAAATGCCGAGGATGAGAAGTTGGTCAGAAAGAAGAAGAGAGGAAAAGATAAGAAAATGATGAGGAACGTTTCGGAGAAGAGTGGATATGGACGAATCATGATCTCCAGTGCTATGTTAATTGAGATTGAAACAGTGTTACAAACTCAGGTAGTTTGTTCTAAATGCTGGTACCATTGTAGCATTTGTTTGTGCTTGTGTTGCTTCTTAAGTGATACATTAGAGTGGTTCGTAGTGTATATATTTAGTTATCCATTAATTGTTTCATGGAAACACAACATGTTGTTTTGACTTGTTATAATTAAATTGATAGCATATTTTTTAGGATGCTTTCAATTGTTCCTGCTAGGCTATTTTTTGTGTTCCTCTCTTTCACAACAATAGATATTTTTGATCAGAACAGATGCATTAGTATATACTTAGCGAAATGTAAAAAGAGACTGTGAATCTGTGATACACTTCTTCTGCCATTTATTTAATTTTGGGTTGGTTTTTAGATATGCTAAAATTTATCATATTTTTCAGGAACCTGTCATTCGGCCCATATGGAATACATTTGCAAGTAGTGTTAGTGGCATATGGAAGGGAGTGGGAGCAGTCTTCTCTCCTGTGACTGCAGAAATTGAGCCAATTGAAGTGGGTGACAAGAATGAGAACCTCTTTGACTGTTATACCCTTACTCGTGTTGAAGCTTTTCCTTCATCAGCTGGGGATGGTCAGACTTCCCACATCCAGAGGAAAGTCAATTGGGTACCGCTGAATCCCTATGGTGAAGTTCCAGAGTTGGGTGGAGAAAGACCTTTGGGTATGAGGAGGACGGCAGAAGAAACTCTTAAAAACAACAAGCTGCCAAAGTTTGAATCTTTTGACTTTGGAAAGAGTGACGTGATGGAGGAGGATATAATGGGAATGGAACCTGGTCTCGTATTCTTTGAGGTAAAAATAACCTAGTTCTCTGATTAGAATGACTCATGCTTTAGTTATTGGGGTACCATTTTCATCATGTCAAATTTCGTCCAATCAAAGTTTCTGAAATTTGAAGGATGGATCTTACTCGAGAGGGCCAGTAGATATTCCTGTTGGTGAAGTTGACGTGTCAAAGAATTACCTTTCCCCAACATTCAAGTTTGAACAAGTAAGTTTTTATACTCGGTTCTTATTAACCATTTAATATGCTCTACAATTCAAAATTTTAAATGTAGAAAACTGGTATTCCTATGTTTACATACATTTGATGGGGTTATTACTATTGAACTGGCTCCTACTTTACTGTGTAGTGTTTGGTCAAAGGGTGCCATAAGAGACTTCGCATGGTTCATACTATAGAATTCAGTAATGGGGGTTCTGATATTCAGATATTGAGAGTTGCTGTTTATGAAGAACAATGGGTTTGTCCGACCAATCTTTCTGACCTCAGGTATTGTTCAGTATCTTCAAAGAATAGTTTAGTTTAGCATACTTATATGTGTCTTTGAGCTGTTTGAGGAGAATAATCTTACATGCATCTTTTCAACAATAGATTGGTTGTTGTTTTGTGTCTAGACTATTGAGTTGCATTTCTCATCCGGCTCTAAGACAGAGACTCTGTTTTTGCTTTTGTTGTTCCTACTTCCTAGAAATCTTTAGAGGACATCAAGTTTTATCATGCCGCAATGTGTTGCATGCTACAGAGTATGATATATGTAACTCGTTATTTTCATCATTTTCTTAGTTTGAGATCTTCAATATTGAATACAACAACATCCACATTCAATATTGAATGTGGTAACAAAGTTCTCTACTAAAAAAAATTCACAATGTGTTAGACCGATAAGTAGCTCATATCTGAAGTATCTATAGTTTCATAATCTTTTCTCAATAAAAAGTTACAAAATGTAGCTCATTTTTTTTGAAAGAATGATACAACAACATCCAAGCCTTATTCCCAAAAGATTTTGACGTCGGGTAACATGAATCGATCCATGATATCATAGCCAAAAAAGAGAAGAAAGATAAGAAGAATAAAAAGATAAAGTAAGATAAAATGGATAAGATAAAGATAAATATAAGATAAAAATAACATAAGAACATAAAAAAGATAAAAAATTGATATGAATTATGAAAAGATATGATTAGCTTTTATTTTTTCTAAAAGAGCGACCAAGTAACTACAAAACCTTAAGGGTACGTTTGGTTGGGGGTAATCATCTATGCAGGCCGGAATCCAATGCCCGGAATGTGAGATTTCCATGTTTGGTTCATGAGTCTGATTTTTTTTAGGAATGTTATATTACCAAATAGAAAATAATGGAGTGACATGCCTAGAAATGTTAAACCCATATACCTCCTAGGTTATCTTACATTCCCCCTCCTTGATTAAAACTTACTCATGCTAATTTAATAAGCATTCTATAATAGCTCTTCAATCCTATTTAGGTCTCCTATTCAATTAATTCTGTCCAAATTTTTTCCTCTTCATTTTACCAGAGTCTCCTAAATCAAGTAATTGCTCCTTCTAAATTTAATCTTTTAATCCTCTTTACTCTTCTTTTGATTACTCCTTAATTTTCTTTTTAATATATTTTAATTTTCTCTCCATTTTTCAACACATTGTGCCGTTCTTTGGTTTGTCTTTAAACTTCTAATTTTTCTTTGAATCATAAGCATATTTAAATATGCTTTTCTTATTATTGTGCCTATTGTTTTAAGAATTTAGTTCACTCTTTTGCTAATTTAAAAAGAGAGTTTAGCAAAATTAAGTAGTGCAACATTGACTTGTTCTTTTTATACAACTGTTTTGGTAATGATTTACATTTATTTATTTAAACAAAATTATTTTTTAATGTTTACTTATCTTTCTCTTTGGGTGCAACATCCACAATGTATCTTTGTCATTTGTACAATTAATCATAATTCATTTAGTTTTGATTTTTTTAAGGAGAAATTGAAAATAATAATCCCAACTATTGCCGGTCCGCTAAAAATAATCCCAACTATTGATTATTTTTGTATAATCCCAACTATATAGACTGTCCGCCAATAATGGTCCATGACCAGATATTACCTCTATAAAAAGTGAATTTTAAATAGAAATTAAGCGTAAAAATTAAAAGTTGAGATTATTTATAGGGATTACTTGTTATATCTCATCTCATCCACTTTAGAAACTACAAGAATTTATTCATAGGGACCATTATTGGTGGAAGGTCCCTAAAGTTGGGATTATTCTGGAATAATCAATAGTTGGGATTATTATGAGCGGACCGCCAATAGTTGGGATTATTACTATCAATTTTTCCTTTTTTTAATTGTTAAGGTATTTCATTTTTTCTTTAATTTAAGTTAGTTTACATGCAGGTTGTAATAAATTTATTGTGCTAAGAGAAAATCACCAAATCTGTAGTACTGAATTCGCACTTGTGTTTCACCACGCTTACTGGCTACTGCAAACACTTCTTAATTTCACACAAAGAGCTCGTGTCTTTAGTACTCTAGAGAGTTTTTAATTTTGGGACTCGTGATGTTAACAGTGATACAGAGATGGAGATGAAGCCATTTTCACACAGGAGGAGAGTTCAACCAGGAGAGCTGGCTGGGTCATGGAAGGTGTTTGAGATGAGTGCCACACCAGTTTACGGCGAGGGGGATTGTACAGTTGGGAATGTTGTGCCGTATGTATACCTTTGCACTGAGAATCTAAAGAAAAGAAGTTTGCCCGAAAATGTCGTTCACTTTGGGGAGGAAGAGTTGCGAGACATGCAAGATGCTACTGTCCTGTGGCTGCCGGGAGGTGTCACCAGCTATGTTGACGTGAAAGAGGATGGAATATTGTGCATCGGAGTTGGGTGGTATTCGGATGAGGGAATAAACCTGGTCCTAGAACGGGATTATGGAACAGATGGGAAACTCAAGGAAGTTAGGTGGAAGTCTGAAGTGAAGAGAAGGTGGACTAACCCTCCTCCCATGTAGTTTGTTAATAACTTTATTTCTAGTTGATCATTGTATATTTCAATGCTTTTTTATGGTTGATCAACATATGTTTTTTTTCTGAGTACTATACTTGTAGACAATCAGCAACTAAATCTATATTGGAGTTGAATGTCAAAAGAGTTTCCTCTAGTCAATTTTGAAACCCATCTTAGGATTAGCTTGGTATTGAGGTATTCTGGTATGTACAATTCTTTGCGTACATGTATAAAAAGGGAGCTTGACACGAAAAGTGAAAAAAATTCACTTCTACTTGGCTACGTTGTCATTTTCAATTCTAATACTGCACTTTTTCATGATGGCAAAAACGTTCAACTATTATTAAAAATGACTTCAGGTTTTTAACCAAATTTCATGCATTTTAGGTACTTTTGGAGCTATTAGATCTCAATATCAATGCATGAAAATCATTCATATTTTTCACATTAAGACTTTTCTTATTTGATCCAGTGTGTGAAGGGTTCATGAAAATTCAGTTGGAATTCAATTGAATAAAGTCTTGGGAGCATGTTCTTCATGAAGTATATATTATTTTAACAAAATTTCAGTTTAAAATCTAGCCCGAAGTCAATAAGTATTGAAATCAACTATACCAATAAAGAATGCTCAAATCAGCTCTAAGACTAAGAACATGTTTGGTAACACTGTAATTCGGTTTATCAGACTTATTAGCTAACTTTTTCACCAAAATGCAACTTTTGATTTTGCGTGCTAAAATATGTAATAATAAGAAAAAGTAAGGTTGAAGTTACTTTTTTCGGTTGTTTCGGCTGAAGTTACTGTAGATGATCATTTTAGCTATTTTTACATATAATTTTTTCTTTATTTTATTAATAAAATAAATTTTAAATTTATTTTTATCATAATTCAGCAGATTTCGTCAATACAGTCATTTAAACTAGAACTTCATAAATTTGAGCAGGATCAACCTTTATTATTATTTGTTGAACAATGATGTTGAATACTCCGTATATTTATGAACTTTAAATGTTAAATGATGATTTCTATAACTTCTGTAGTTGCATATTTTAATATAAAGTTGACCAAAAGTCCAAAACTAATGACTTTTGAACTTTTTTCAGATTATTATGGCTGTTAGAATCAATTGTTCATCCTCTGTAGGTTAATGCTAAGTAAATGTTTTAATTAATCGAGAGTTCTACGGAGTACGGGTATTACATTGTGATAGAACTAATATGGACTAAATATGGAGAGAAATTTAAAAAAGGAGTTTGAAGTGCTATTACAACGACCTTAGGGACAAAAAACAAATACAAAACTTATTACGGAGTAATAAGCTCCAATGAGATATAACCAGTTTTCAATGCTTTTACGTCTCTCTCGGTCTCAAATCTTGCATCTAAAAATCTCCCTGAATTGCACAATCAATCAACTAACATCGAGCGGGCGGGTCTCTCATTTTCCGTTTAACATTTCTCTTTGATCGCCATGAATCCTGAGTAGTATGTTGTTTTATCAATCTCCCCCCCCTCTGATTAGTACTCTGTATTATTTATTTTCCTTGTTATGTTTTCTTTCATTCGATATGTTTTGGAAGTAATATCTCTGTTTTTTTGCTGTTGAATTTATTACCTTTCACATGAATTTATTTGACCACTCAATTTTAGCTATTTTGTAAGTAAAAATCCTATCTTTGTGCTAGTTCTCGATCTACGCCATGATGAAGTATTGACCGGATCTGTTCCTGTTATCTTATCACCCAGCTATGATTATCTGTATATGTGTACACACGTGCATATGCTATGAAATTGAAAGTTTAACTATGCTGAAGTATTGGTATTGGATTTTTAGCGCGAAGGAGAAGTCTGTTTGATAAGCAGTCTCTAGGTACAAGGGAATTGACTTGGGATTATTGTATGATCATTATTCTAAATGGTCTGAGTCATTGGGCAGTTCAAATGGACGAGCTTAATAAATGTATTTTGATTTTTAAATGCAACTGAGTAAATGCTTTAGATATCTGAGTCGATTAAGCTTATTAGTCATGAACCAATTTTAACATGTACTCCCTCCGTCCCTTAATATGGGTTAATAACATCTGATGTTTCTAAGAAAATGTCTGACTACTGCTTCCATTTAACTTGAGTTGTCAGTTTTACTATCTGTGTTTGTACTTTTTTAGAAAGTTAAGTGAAACACAAATCAGCAGATATTCAACATGACATAACCGCCACACTTTTTGTGTGTGTGTTTAAACTGAGTAGATGAATTTTACCTTGAACTAAAATTTGAATGCTGAAGCTCCCTTCGTCCGATTCCTTAAAAACTGAACTGGAGCTTTTTGTGATAATTCCTGATTTTTAGATAGTGAGTGTAAATTTTCACAAGTCAGAAGAGCCTCTAACTAATACGAGATATTCCCCTTCACAACCTTATGGCTCTCCTAACTCTTTGCATCTGTTTCTCCATGCAGTGATTATTTGTTCAAACTTTTGCTAATTGGAGATTCTGGTGTTGGGAAATCATGTCTTCTTCTGAGATTTTCTGTAAGTGGATATTAAATGTACTCCTGACTCCTGTGTATGCTGGACACCTATTTAGTTTGTGTTTACTTATGCCTGCTGAATTTAGGTGAGGATCAAAGCCTTGATGAGCTTGTGAATAAACTACTTAAAGATTCTCTCATTTTTGCGGTTTTGATAAATGACATTCTAAGAAGAGTGTCTAGTCGCTGCTGAATGCTGACTCATTTTAAGAAGGCTGCCCAGTTTCCAGTAGTGACTGTTATAGTTTGGGAATAAAAGTGATGTCTAACAATAGTCACTAAACTGAAACTGTTTAATTTATTTTGTTAGGATGACACATACATGGAGAGCTATATAAGCACCATTGGAGTTGACTTTGTAAGTAAGTTGTGTAATAACTGTAACTCCATAAATCTTTTCATTATAGTGTAACTATAAGTTTTTATCCAAGTCCCGGCCTACAGCCTTCCACGAAGGGTGGGTCTGGGTAAGTAGAACCAAGAAGGAAGGTGAACAAAGGGAAAATTTCACTGCTTGTTCTTCCTTGTAGAAAATCCGCACTGTGGAGCAAGATGGGAAAACTCTGAAGCTTCAAATTGTGAGATTCTCTATGGACTAAAGCCTGAGTTCTTTTATTTCACAGTTTCCCCATACTTTATTTGGAAAATCGATCTTCGTAAATCTTATTTAAGTTGCGGTATTGGTTCTTTGTCAATATCTAGTGGGATACTGCCGGACAAGAACGATTTAGGACTATTACTAGCAGCTACTATCGCGGAGCTCATGGCATAATTGTGAGTGTCTTCCTGCAAAATCCTTATTCTCCTTAGCTTTAATTAATTGGCTAATTAGTTGGTCTGTATTCTCTTTGGCACATGGAGAAATTTACTCTGGAGGGTAGACAAGATATTTTAATATAGTGAATTATTAAAGTTTTGCCTTCAAATACAAAAACAAGTATACCATACAGGCACACACACAGGGATAGTATCAGCTGATAAACTCTCACCTGCGAAATATTACTTGTAGTAACAAAAACATAATTGTTATGACAAAAAAAATGAACATCTTATTGGTCATATTTACTGGAATGCAGGTAGTTTTTTTATAGTAAAAAACATTGATTAGAAGTCAGACTTTTTGTGTTAAGTGTTACATTTTGTTTACAATAAGTTATATTTCGGAGGTGAGAAACAAATATTTATTTCTCAGGTGATCCTTTTTCTATATATGTAAATGTAAATATGTACTTATGTACGGGGTTATATATAAGTAAGTGCTTCAGGGTATAGTTATTATATGTAAAGTAACAATGTTTTCAACAGTATAGTTACTCTGGAGGGGTACACAAGATATTTTAATATAGTGAATAATTGAAGTTTTTCCCTTAAATACAAAAACAACTATACGATACAGGCACACACACAAACAGGGATAGTATCAGCTGATAAACTCTCACCTGTGAAATATTACTTATAGTAACAAAAACATAATTGTTATGACAAAAAATTTAACATCTTATTGGTCATATTTACTGGAATGCCGGTAGTTTTTTATAGTCAAAACATTGATTAGAAGTCAGACTTTTTGTGTCAAGTGTTACATTTTGTTTACAATAAGTTATATTTCGGAGGTGAGAAACAAATATTTATTTCTCACGTGATCCTTTTTCTATATATGTAAATGTATACATGTACTTATGCACGGGGTTATATATAAGTAAGTGCTTTCAGGGTATAGTTATTATATGTAAAGTAACAATGTTTTCAACAGTATAGTTACTTTGGAGGGGTACACAAGATATTTTAATATAGTGAAAGTGAATCGTTAAAGTTTTTCCCTTAAATACAAAAGCAAGTATACCATACAGGCACACACACAAACAGGGATAGTATCAGCTGATAAACTCTCACCTGCGAAATATTACGTATAGTAACAAAAACTTAATTGTTATGACAAAAAATTTAACATCTTGTTGGTCATATTTACAGGAATGCCGATAGTTTTTTATAGTCAAAACATAGACTAGAAGTCAGACTTTTTGTGTTAAGTGTTATGTTTTTTTACAATAAGTTGTATTTTAGAGGTGAGAAACAAAATTCGAAGTATTTATTTCTCACGTGATCCTTTTTCTATATATGTAGATTAGTATATTTACTTATGTATGGGGTATTTATATATAAGTAAATGCTTTCAGGGTATAGTTATTATATGTAAAGTAACAATGTTTTCAACCTGAGGGGATTGAATGATAGGTTGTATATGATGTCACGGATGAGGAAAGCTTCAAGAATGTGAAGCAATGGCTAAATGAAATTGATCGATATGCCAGTGACAATGTCAACAAACTTCTTGTTGGTAACAAATGTGATCTTGCAGATAAGAGAGCAGTGCCATATGAGACAGCTAAGGTGCTTGTTGATTATAATAGACATAAACTCGGGTTTCTTTTAAGACTGTATTGAGGCATTTTTCTTTGGATGAAAGTATATTTATTGTGCTTTCTCTCATTATACAGGCATTTGCTGATGAAATAGGTATTCCTTTTTTGGAAACTAGCGCAAAAAATGCTACTAATGTAGAGAGTGCTTTTATGGCTATGTCTGCTGCAATTAAGGAAAGGTAAGATGTGCTTGCTGTATACTGAGTACGGAGTCTATTAGAACAGCACCAAAATCCATGCATTTCCCTTAAGTGTTTTTAGTATCATTAATCTGTATATATGAGTTATGTATGAAATGAT